TATTAATACGTACATTTTAAAATCTGTGAGACAGAGATCTTTAGTGGAGCAGCGTTGGAGATCAATGGAGCTTTCTCAGGTGAAATATCAGAAAATCAGGAGAGTTATTGGGGTGGTTCATCCAAAAATCTAATTGGTTTCACTTTTGCTCACACCTATATCATTCTGAACCAGTTTGTTGTTGTTTTTCAATGGAATAAAAGAAAGAAAGTTGTTGTTTTTCAATGGAAAGAAAGAAAGAAAGAAAGAAAGACACATGTGTACACACATTAGACTATGGAACACATATCACTATTAACTAAGAGTTTTCCCTCAATACACTCCTAATTTGCTGCTTACTGATAGTAAGATAGATGTTGTAGTAGATGTTGTAGTAGTTATGTTTAGGTATTGGGTGAATTAAGATATCTAGAATATGGTCATGCATTAATATGTGCTTTATAAGTACAAATAAACAGCAATTATGCTAGTAATATGCTTGCTAATAAGCAACTAGTTGATAGTGAATAGTGTTTCCCAACCTAAAGTTTTACAGAGATTCTGTTTGTTCTCCATCTAATCTCTTCACTGCCTTCAAGACTGCTAAATAATAGAGACATTGAAGAGACGGCAGAATTAATGTCTTATGTGCATACAGTTCTTTCATATTTGGAGGTCACTTTCTCAGTCCTTTCATGACCACTGTGGTTTCAGAACGATACCAAAGGCACGGCATCGCTCTCTTATTTCCTTCCTCTTTCTCTCTTTAATGCATTTTAAGGCTGGCGGGGAGCACAGGAAGTTAACGAGTGTAAACCTGAAAAGCCTGGTGAGTGGTAGGAGCTGATTCAGTGCCAGGTTGGTTTCAGGCGTAATAAAATCAAAGCCAGGACCACTTCCCACATACAGGCAGCCACACAGGAAGAGCTGCATGTTGGACGGCAGGAGTTTAGCAGCGGAAGAGCCGTGCAGACTGGGTCTTGAAGTTGGGGATGCCCGGTGGCCATTTCTGTTCAAACATGTGAGAGGATTAACCTGCCGTGCCGCGCGCATCGCCAGGGCATGTGGTGGGATTCCTGTTTTGGGCTTCCTGTTTCTCCTGACGTTGAAGAATTTTGGCGGTGAGCAAACTCCCCATGCTATGATCAAAACGCACAGATATACCTGGATCAGCAAAATATGAAGGAGAGAGACCTCACACTTTCCAGGCACAAATCTAAGAAGATAAACAGTACACAGCCGCGAGTGAACATGCTGTTAATGGGAACATATATTAAGAGGTAACTCATCAGCATGCTGATGTTAAAGAGAGTTCAATGGGTACTGGCAATACAGCATGTCAGAAAAGCCACACATATGGACCTTTGAGGACATGACATAGTATGTCAGGCAAAGACCTGCATGAAAATAAGCCTATTAATAAACTTTAATCATAACTTGTGTAAAAAGAAATAAAAGTTGTTGGCGTTTTACTGCCACTAGTGGTAATTTTAATTGGAAACGGCATGAATAGTGTCTTTATGTATAATTTTGAAGCAAAAAATGTAGGTAGAGGCACATTTTTCCAATGAGCCTATATTGTTGCATTGCAGTAGCTGATCTTCTGCTTGGTGAAAATCATACATTTGGTCTTTTAGAAAAGTAATAGCACACGTCTCCTCAACAAGCCACACAGTATTATGATTGTAGACCAAACAATGCCTGCACCAAAGTTACCCGAATTATAATAATGAATCATATGAGAAATGCGCTGACATGGCAAGATGTGTTAAACCAAGCTGACACTACTTTACTCATTTTAGCAGCTTTTCTGCAGGAACAGATTTGGGCCTAGTCAAAATGTCGGTTTAGTCAATTTCAGTTCTACTTCACTGCCAGAGATAATGATGAGTGCTCGTCATCACATTCACTTCCAACAGGTGATGATTCCTAGGTGGGTGACTGAAGAAGGGAACACGAGAAAAGGAGGCACAGCATGTGAGTGAATCTGAAGAAAACAAAGCCTTCGTCTCTCTCACGGCACAGGCCTCTAGGGGGAACATGTTACGCTAATTGCCGCTTCTACACAGCGCTGAGACTTAACACCATTTCACATTCTCTCATCAAAGAAGCCACATGCTCAACTTTATGAAAATTTCATTCAGTATGTTCACTTTCTTCTTTTTCCTTTTTTTTCTATCTTCCCTTAAAACAACTGCCGGGGCGAGACAAAGAGACAGGACCGTTTTTGCAGGACCGTTTCCTTCCTGCCTGGAAGCCCTACAGTAACTTGTTAGATCAAACGGTTACACTTTACTTGAAGGGGTGTGCATAAGACTGACATGACACCTTCATAATCATGACACGACACCTATATAATCATGACATGACACATGTCATGAATATGAAGGTTTTTTTTATGCATGTTTATGACAACTGTCATTAAGTGTCATTCGCTCAGTTATGTAATTTTTAATGCAAAGATGACACTGTTTGAGATGTCTTTGTTATGGGCTATGGTTAGGGGTAAGGGTAGGGGTAGGGTTAGGTTAGGGTTAGGTCAAATAATGTCATATTTGCATTAAAAATGACATAACTGAGCGAATGACACTTAATGACAGTTGTCATAAACATGCATAAAACCTCCTTCATATTCATAACATGTGTCATGTCATGATTATGAAGGTGTCATGTCAGTCTTATGCACACCCCTTCAAGTAAAGTGTTACCGATCAAACTTAGAGAACTTCTACATCTGCCAGGAGCAAAATAATAATAATAATTAAAAAAAAAAAAAACACAAGGAAAGAAGAAAGGAGAAATCTTTAAAAAAAAAGTGAACAACATCAAGCAGGTTCGAGAATTTACTGTGTAGAGGCAGGAGACCTGATGGAGATCTGAAAACTAATTACTGAAACAGTGTGTGGGAAGCAAAGACAACAAAGTTGAAGCATCTGCTGTCCCTGTGGACAGTGTAAATAAACTTGCTGCTCTCCACTGATTGCTGGGAAGAGTTTCATCATAAATTCCCCTGTCACTCACAAAGAAGTCCAATTAACATTTTATCTACACAAACCTCAAATAAATGTGTTTAAAAAAGCAATATCGAGGCATACTGAGAGCTTCCCTTTAAAAAAAAAAACATTTTAGATTCATTATCAAGAAACATTTTTCTCTATATGGAGTTTTTGAGTTTAGCTATATCAAAAACAACTTAAACTCCAACAGCTAATATTGCCTACAACCCATTGCGCTTTGGAGGATTTGGATTCGTTTACAAACATGAATAAAAAAATAAAAATAAAATAAAATAAAAATCAGGCCAGGCTGCACAGGAGGCAGGAGCTTAGCCCACTATGGCCCCATAATAATTAAAAAATGTGTGTGATGTTCAATTCAGCTCCAGTATTTGTGTCCTAAATCACATACTGTCTGAGTAGGTACTACATTTGAATTTGAACCTACTTTGCGACCATTAAAAAAGTATGTTCTTTACAGTATGGGTAGCATGAATGAAATTCAGACGTATTGCATCCGTCATGCTGTTACTCTCACGTGATCTAGCTGCATCTACTTCAGTGCTATTTATAAATCCTCTCCCGTGGCTTCATGGGATAGTAAACTGTTCATCGAATGCGCCCATCAGGATCCCGGCAAAGTAGTACATCATCCGGGTACTTTTCGCCTACTGTTTTTCGAATACTACGAATTCAGACATGCTACATTTTTGGCTTACTGTATTTTAGGGAAGTATTTGATTTGGGACACAGAGTGTGCGCAAACTCAGCGCCACTACCAAACTGAGCTCACAGTTGCGTCTTAAACGGACATATACACTCAAAATTCATTCAAAGTGCTTGTTTTTGAGCAAGTATCCTCGAAAGCACATTCTTAACTCCTAATAAACATAAAACTCTCAGATCTGCTCTTGACTTCATAACTTCTGTAGCTTAGCTACTCTTCTGCTACACACAGACATCTATTTACTTTTCTTCTCAAAAAGAGACCGATTGTGTGGAAGTATGCGATCTGGGACGCAGCACGTGCAACTTTGGGCCCTCTAGGGGTCAAAAAATAAAACTGCATGCGACTCACAGAAGAGCATTGTTTTAGTTGTGTTTAGGCTCTTCTACTCTGCACAGGTGAATGTGGTTCCACGCACAGGTGTAGGATTAAGGATAAGTGGATTGATGAATAAATAACATTTTCGTGGCTTTTAGACCTTTTGATTCCTGGAGGTTTGCCGTTTTGAATGATTCAAGGTCAATTTCTATTGTCCGCTGTGACAATACACTTTCAGCTTCATGCAATGCACATGCATATACAGTACATACAGACATGTTTGCATTTGAGATATGTTATATATTATGCAAGTCAATGGGGACGAGCAACTGTTTGGTTACCTACATTCTTTACAATATCTTCTGTTATGTTCAACAAAATAAATAAATGTATACAGGTTTGGAACAACATGAGGATGAGTAAATGTTTCTTTTTTGGGTTGAATCATCCTTTTAACAAGCGGATAAGAAACTGAAAAGTGTTCACCTATGCATCACATAAAAACTTCCAACTTCCTATCATACAGAGTTTAGGAAATCGCTTTCATACAGTATCATCAGGCTGTAAAAAACACTTTTATTACCAGAATGATATGCCATTTTTGTGATGGGCGTCGTTTTTTAAAAAAATCCTGAAAGATCCTGTAACTGTTAAAGCATGCAGTGCTTGCTAGCTCCTCCATTTAGTCATCCATCAGAGAAGTGGGTGTTGTTTCTGGCCCAACATGTCTAACGCACCCGTATAAATCACTCACAGGGATTTCAGGGTCCAGTGTTTAAATAATTAAAGAGCTTTAATTTATCTGGATTTAGCACCTTCAGACATGAAAGCGGACAGTCACTGGGGGACAGGAAATGAGCAACAGTAATGGAGTCAGAGCGGAGGAGAGGGAGAGAGATTCACGCTCTAATAAAACTGAACGCACATGCATTGAACGGGTGGGGGTGGAGGTGGAGGGGGGTTTTTGAACATGCTTCCAGGAACACAATCAAGGATTGAGAAAAGATAATGCTACAGCAGTTTCATTTGACACACATTTAAAAGGCTTTTGAGAAAAGGTTTATTAACTATACAAAACCAATTCATCCAAAAAACGTACAGGTCAATGAATCATCACCATTAAGCACTAATAATAACACATGAATGAAACAGGCACAGGATATGACTTGTCTTCACAGTGGTAAAATCCACATCAAACAGCATGCAACACAAATTTGACTTTATCGAACGCAAAATTACAATTTGGTTCAATAGATTGCAGGATTTCAGACTACTGCCAATTAAACGGACTAACTTTAACATATTATACAACTGCTATGTGCAGTTCGACTAACGCCCTCTACTGGGTTACATAAATGTATTAGGAGCCTAAAGGAATAGTTCACCCATAATGACAATCCTCTCATCTTCTACTGAACCTGAATGACTCCTGCTCCTGTAAAACACAGAAGATCTGTTTTATCTATATAATGAAAGTCAGTGTGGCCCAAAACAACTTAGTACATATTTTATGTATTATAATATCTTCTGTTGAGTTCCACACAGAATAGAAACGCATACAGGGTTTGAACAACAAAGTGAGAGTAAATAATGACAAGATTTTCATTTTGGGGTGGACTATCCCTTTAAGGGCAGAGTCTATCAGTGCACAGTCAGATCAAGTCATGTACTTGTCAGTAGCTACACTAAGTGAGCACTGCTTGGGTCAGAGAGCACAGAGACAATAAACAATGTGGTGGACTAATGATACAATACTGCCCCCTACTGGTTTGAACATAAACTCATTTCAGTACATAGCTGAACACTAACTGCAAAGTGAAACACAGCTCTAACAAGGGTTCAGTTGAACTGCTTCTTAAAAGCATTACATAATACAAAAAACACCAACAGAAAAAGCTTATTCCTTTGCTTCCTCTAAATTACCTCTGAATTAGCGGACACACTCAAAACAATTACCTTAATGACGGAATATCAATATTTTCTACCCTAAAAGCTTCTGACAAGACTCACCTTATGTATCTATATCAGACTATTCTGTTCCAGTGCCACAAAATCTGACAATCTGCTACGCAAACTATACTATAGAAACAAAAATCAGTTATATAATTTGAATTAATTATAAATGGGTAGCATATATTTATGTATTTTGACAGCTAACAATGTATATGGGCATATTTTATTTATGAATATATGTTATATATGACTCTGTTTAAATAAGTAAATCTCCAAAATTACACCAATAGGAACTTTGGCCTGACCAATATTAGAGTGTAGAATAATATATATCACAATAGCCCTGAATCCCAATGCATTTCTTTCTTTTTGTAAGCATAAGCATTGATTTTTGGTGGCGTTCAGCTGGGGATCCATATGTTCCTAGCATCAGTTTTCCATGAGAGAGCGCTGTAAAGCTTCCTGGATCATGGCTTGCTCGTCTGTGGAGTAATCCTATAATAAGATACAAGAAATATGTATTTACGTCTCAGCTCAGTCCACCGACCACCAATCACGGTCAGTCTCGACTTCATACTTCAAATGAGAATTCATATATTTTCACTTAATATGTAATGCATTAATGATGTAAATACTACATTGAGCTGTTATGTGCGCAATTGTTCATTTATTTTTTTTGTGTGAAACCTTTCTGTTTCAGTTTGCTTTTATATAGCTAGAAAAGCTAATCCCTATGAGCTTCATATGCATCATTCCATAAATAAATAAATAAAATATAATGCTGGTTGCCCTACTTATTTATTTGTTTGTTTCTTTTTGAACTTGAGCTGGTCCAGACTTTTGTAGTAAGAGATTAGGTCATAAAAACCAGGTTCTGGACTGTTAAATACTGCACTGCGGTAGGTCAGACCAACTATTTATACCAAAGGTAATATATATATATATATATACACACGTTGTATTTATTTACTGAATACTGAACTGGAGAAGATAACCCATTTTAAATCACAGAAAAAGCAAACAGCAAGACTGATCCATGTTATAGCTGGATATAAAAGGAATTATATCTATCCTTGAATAGCTAGATATAAAAGACATCTGAACAAGATTCCTTTTGACAGAACTATGACAATTTTATTTTAGTTTCTTTGAACACTAGGAAACCAGAGCATGGTAATTTTGTGATCTACTTACCACAAAGGTGTCATAGGAAAAAGCATGTCTCATTCTGAGGTGCTGAAAGAAGTCAGCGCTCCTGTAATTAGGGTCGCCCCAGGGCATTGAGGCACATATCGGACACACCTGCAGGAGCGGAGACAAGGGTCACAATATCCCATTAACTCCTGACTCCACAGGTACTATTTCTACTAAGAGTGTGTGATATAGCAAAAAATTATATGCTGATATGTATACCTTTTTAGTGATATTCAATATATAGCTATACGTAGATACATGCATTTTCAAGGAAAGGCTTAAAGGGGTCATATGATGCGATTTAAATTTTTCCTTTCTCTTTGGAGTGTTACAAGCTCTTGGTGCATAAAGATCTGTAAAGTTGCAAAGACTAAAGTCTCAAATCCAAAGAGATATTCTTTATAAAAGTTAAGAGTCAGCCACGCCTACCTAAAATGGCTCGTTCTAACACGCCCCACATGTCTATGTCACAATGTGGGAAGATTTGCATAACGCCGCCCAAATGTTCACGCAAAGAAAGAAGGCGTAACTTTTATTCTCGCTGTAGTATTGTTGCTGCCGCCGCCATGTCGTGAAGACGCTGTGTTTCGTTGTGAAAGCGAAACTACTTTGTTTGGTCTTCCAAAAGAGGACGATATCCACTTCGTCATGCCTGGAGCTGATCCGTGCTGGCCGCTGAGGGAATACATCAACTTTGCTGTGGATCACCGGACCAGCTTTCACCATGGACGAAGTGGAGTCCAGCCCGGGGACGTCACATGTGGCTGCCGCAAGCCCACTGGACGCTCCTTCGTCCAATCTGCCGGCTGCGCCGTTCTCAAGCCCGCCTGCCACCGCTCACTCTAGCCCGCCGTGTGTTTCGTTGTAAAAAGCTAGACTACTTTGTTTGGTCTTCCAAAGAGGACACGACTAGAAATCAGTGGTTAAGTTGTATTTACAACACTGTTTCAGAACACTTCAACCCAAATATTCAGATGTGTGCAGCACATTTTATGAAGGACTGTTTCTTGATCCTGGTAGAGTAGACTACAATGCCGGCTGTTCTGACTCACAGAATGTAAGTAAGTTTTCATTTAAAGGATTTGCCACTGACGATTCAAACAGTCATAAGTCGCTGGGGGATATTTGTAGCAATAGCCAACAATACATTGTATGGGTCAAAATGATAGATTTTTCTTTTTTTTGCCAAAAATCATTAGGATATTAAGTAAAGATCATGTTCCATGAAGATATTTTGTAAATTTCCTATTGTAAATATATCAAAACTTAATTTTTGATTAGTAATATGCATTGCTAAGAACTTCATTTGGACAACTTTAAAGATGATTTTCTCAATATTTAGTTTTTTTTTTGCACCCTCAGATTCCAGATTTTCAAATAGTTGTATCTCGGCCAAATATTGTCCTATCCTAACAAACCATACATCAATGGAAATATTATTTATTCAGCTTTCAGATGATGTATACATCTCAATTTAAAAAAATTGACCCTTAAGACTGGTTTTGTGGTCCACTTCAACTTTTTTTCTTATTCAAACTGGACTTAAGATCTGATCATGGGTTTGAACTTTTGGTGTCATTTAACGTGACTTTTTTCATATTTTGAAGAAAATGTTTAAACACTGAAAAACAGATATATTACCTGACAGTGGAAGGCTGGTTCTTTGAAATGGCCTTCATGCCTTCCTTGATAAACTCTTGATATTTAGAGCAAACCCCTGTGTGGTTTCTCATGTCCGACAAAAGAACCTGGCGGAGAGTAGATGAAACCGTTTTCTTCTAGGAACACCTCAGACTCAAACAGCAAGCTCACGGACCACCCACAGTCTGTTCACGGACCATCTGATGCATATCGCATACACAACTGCAAAGCGCTTGTGAAATCCGAAAGCTCTAAACAGAATGCCTGATAGTACACAATTTCTACCTGGTCCACAGGTTTTGATCAGTCTGGCAGGAAACAAAAATTGTGGAGGAATAACTTTTTCACTGGAGTTGCCAAAGTAGCTTCAAACAAAGCTGGAGAAGAACTGCTGCAACACACAGTGTGTCGATAATGAATGTTAACGTGTTTTTGAGAAATTTGTTTGATGAATGATTTTATGAATCTGAATAAATTATTTTGAACGAATCATTTGAATTAATGATTCAGACTAGGGCTGGGCGATATAGCTAAAAAATGTATCAACGATATAATGTTTCATATCGTTCGGTATCGATAATTATTGACATTTTTCAATTATTGACTTTTTTTAAAACAAAACGCAATATTATTATTTTTTTATTTAACCACTGTGTTTTTAATTTACCCAATTTATTGAGACAAACATTTTTATTATTTTTTTTTTTACAGTCAAACAGAAAATAACATTTAAACAAATATCTCCTTTCTTATGTTTCTTATATATTTGATATATCAAATATAATTTTGGAAATTGCATAAACAATTATGAACAAAACAGCATCATATATTTATGCATTGCATTAATAAAAAAAAGAGCCGAATCGCCCATCACACAGATTGTATTTGAAAACATATGAGGCGCAGTGAAAAGGAATAAACCTCCACAAATTAGCGACGTGTTTTCTAAACGTTTAAACTGTTTTAACTTTGCAAGGCTACATCTCTTGTGTGACGCGAGTGCAGCAGTCATATTTGTTCGTCGTTTGTGTGTGCTGTCTGCGTCACTCATAGCACGTGCCTATATCGTGTGCTATATCGAACATTTTTTCTATCGTTATCGATGAAGGAGTACCATCGATAAATATCGATACCGTTTTATCGCCCAGGCCTAATTCAGAGACTCACTCATTAAAACTTGTCGCCACCTACTGGCACTTTTAGTTTCATGTTTAAAAATATTTATTTGTTTGTATTTGTCATTTCATATCTCAAAATTCTAAATAGATTTTTTTTAAATAATATTACTTATGCAACTTTAATTGTAGTGTAAATACATTTATGACACCTCTGAGCCGCATTAAACAGTCCGTGTAAATACATCTAAATGCCACTTAAGAAACAGTTAATGTGCCACTTCTGCAGTGTAAAGATGGCTTTTGTTCAGACTGGTTTCTGGATTGTTAACAGCCTTACAATGTCTTATTTTTCTAATCGAATGTATTGATTAAATGTTTAAGTTGACATATAAGATGACACATACATTTATTAGGGTTAGTAAACATTTGCCCTTATAAAGGTAAACATGCCCTGGAAATCAATTTAGTGGGGCAAATGTTGCCCTCAAAGACAAAGTTAATTTCTGTCACTACTGTGAACTAATGACCACACAGAATATGAAGAATATGAAGCTCTCTGGGAGTCAGTTGTCCACAACAAGGCTAAATCTACCAAGGCACAAGCACAAAAACACAGACAGCAAATTATTGTGTAATTATCGTCACTGACAAAATCCCAAAAAACTGCTCATGTTGCATGTATGCAGCATCTTTGTTTGGATCAAGATTAAAATGCAGTGGTTGCCTCTAATTTTAAATGGAAAGAGCACAGATTAAGCCTTAGCTTGTTTATATGAAGAGATTTATTTTATTTGTGTTACTTATTTATTTGATTTGGGGCTTGTTTTAAAATTTCAATGTAGTTTTGTTATTTACATTTACATTATATTTAAATGTTGTCATTTAGCAGATGCTTTTATCCAAAGCGACTTACAAATGAGGACAACAGAAGCAATCAAAACCAACAAAAGAGCAATAATATACAAGTGCTATATTAGTATATTATTATAGTGTTATATTTCAATTTCACAAAGAAATGTGCAGCATTTTGTCCAAGCAATAATAAAAGGACACACTTAATTTATAATTGGTCTTAAATCTAATTTTGTAAAATAATAATAATCGTGAGTTGAGTGAATCGTTACATCTCTACAAGGTAGGCTATCAATAACTTCTCAAGGTATTTCTCTTTTAATCAATTTTACTGGTGTCATGACTGTCAGTAATGTACGAGCTTTAAAATTCATACAAAAAGTATTCATAGAAGGACAATGTGTTGTAGTTTGTTCGAGCAAAGGCATAATTAAGTGAGCAGCACTACAACTCCCAGCATGCCACACTGCACAAGTTTTGTACACAAGAAGCAAAACTGAAAGTAACGCATTTCTTTTTTGAGAAACTCTCATCACAACTGCATTCATTAATGATTATTCGACACAGTCATGTTAAGATTAAATCACGTTGCATGGAGGCTGCACGCGATTAACATGAAACTAATCAACATGTCAGACGAGAAGTTCCTGCTGCGAGGCGCGAGACCGCACGGATACTCACGTGTGTCCGCAGCCGGTGGTCATCGGAGAGATAAACATCTCCAGACACACGGGGCAGAGGAAGTCCTCATATTCTGCATCGATCACATCAGTTTGCGGGTCTGTGGTGAGCATAGCCATGTCTGCGGCGCTGGGCTCCGTCTTCTTGAACTCCGGCGAGATTCACTGCTGGCAAGGGAGGAGCAACAACTCAGCTCAGCTCAACACAACACATTATCACAGCCTCGTCTGACTAACGACAACAACAACCGTGGTGGGCTAACAAACGACTGCCATGTAGTACCTAGAGTGTGCGTGTAGTCTTTTAATGAAGAGTTATGAGTGCGGTATGGCTAGTGGTGTCCGATTCTTCAGCGAATCGCGGACATGAACCGGATCTTTTAAATGATTCGGAAGGCGTGAATGTGAAAATGAATCACTCGACTGCGAGGAAGAACATTTCCGAGAGTGAACCTGTGAGATATTAGACAACAGGATGTTTTACAGAAGAAGAAAAAAGGTCTCAACTGGAACGATTGCAACAAACTGGAGCACATTGTCACTGATACACTTAAAAACGTAATGCGTGTAAGGTAACTGAAAACAGCACGGCGTTTGCGCAAACATTTATTTAACGCTCAGAAAAGAAGGCGTCGTGTGCAGCGCGGAGACTTCTGGGAACTCTTTTGAGCGATGACTCAAATGAATCGAATCGTGAAGGCGAACCGACTCGCTGAATCAATCGAACGTTCCAACGCTAGTCCTGCAGCCTCGGAGCACGCAGGGGAGGCAGCGGGGCGCATGCGCAGAGCGGCGCTGGGGATTTCCAGCGGAACATGAAGGTAAGAGGCGCTGGATGATGGGGAGGAAGGCGGCTCGTTAATGGCTCTAACCAGCACTGCATGACACTCAACGGGCATGTTTACATTCACGTCTTGTTCTTATTGAGGTAATTAAAAAGTAATTGCTGGACGGTGTACGGTTAAATGGCGTGGTGTGTGGATTTGCAGGGCCCTGGAACTGCGCTAATGTTAGCAGCTGTGCTAGCTGCATCTGATATCTGTCAAAGATCAGCTTGAAACGAGTTAGAGTAGAGTGACGACTTCATTCATGTGTGTCCCTTAAGCAAAAACACTATTTGTGAGAACAGCTCGGCCTGACGGCTGCGTTGACAGATTTATTTACTGTAACGTTAAGTAAAGGAGACTGTCAGATTAGCTGTGTGGCTAGCACGCTGTTTATGTCACTAGCAGTGGAAGGCAGATAGAACATCATTAGTTATTAACACTTTGCGAATGCGAACCCTGATTTGTTTAGGTGGTGTGTTTAGCTCGACCGTGTTCGGTAAGATGTTGTGATTACGATATTACGATGTATTGACAGGCCCCTCTGATAAAGCACATGTAAATGCCTGATGTTTTGAGTTGGTGTGAATTCAGCAGCTTGAAATGACTGCCTGCATCATTGAAGGTAAAGGAATACTGTGCAGTTGTTCAGTTGGCAGCCTAACCATCTGGAAGAATAAAGTGCTTCTTCATGTGGCCTCATTGCAAAACAGTCCACACTATCTGCATTATCTAGCCACGCTCACTCCCACATTATCCGTGCACTATTGGCAGGTCCAGAAGGAAATCTGTGCCTGCAGAGCTTTGTGGAAAGTTCTGAATTCCTGTCATTCACACAATTGACAATTCATATGATATCAGCCAAGGACATCTATATAATACCTGGAGAAAGCTGTCTGTTAGCATTCCCATTCATCTCAATGAATAGGGCCTTTCGCACCGCGGGAACCTTTTCATAGTACCAGAACTAATTGTGGAACTACCCACTTTTCGGTGTGTTCGCACCGCCGGAACTGGGTGCTTTTTTAGTACCGGACTGCCTTTTTCGAGAACCAAATTAGCTCCTACTCCGGAGCAGGGTCTAACCAGCACAACTGGTACTACCCGTGACGCAAGTAGACATTGATTGGCCAAACGCGTACGAAAACGCCCTCACCCGCCATGATTTAAAACGCCGTGTAAACATACTGTAAACATGTCAACTTATTTCGCAAGTATGGAGAACAGCGATAGATGGACGGACACTGAAGTGCAGGCACTTGTAGCAAATGTAGCACTGCCAGTTGTCGTTGGAGATTCTTAGTCCTCCTTTCCGTTCTTTCAATCGCTTTACGTATACGTCGATTTTCCATGTCCATTATTGTGAAACCCGCGAGACACAACAAACACACAGCTCCGATCACAGCGTCCTCCATCCTCCTGTTGTTAATGTTGTTCTTTGTTTCTGTTGAACGCTGCGCACAAATGACGACGCTGTCGACCGTCTTACCGTGCGAATGCAACCCTTTAAATAGTACTGGGAAATCGTCCCAGTAATTTAGTACTGTACATTTAGCTCTGGAACTAAAGCGATGCGAAAGGCCCTAATGCAGGACCCACCCCCTGGATGCACTGTTGTGCATGGCCTGCTTGCTGCCATCTTTGCGTATGGGAGCGCGGTTTTGCGCAGACATTTTTGAGCCAATCACCTGAGCAGTGAATACTAATTGTCTGATAGTACCACAGTCCCAAGCGCTTCGCTGCTGGCTGTCCTGCTGGTTCCCTTAACTCAAACATCCATGGCAGTAGACACACATTTCTCTCAGTTGAATGTAGAGATGCACCGATTGACCGGCCAGGGACTGGAATCAGACGGTTTTCCACGGTCAGCCTCACCTCTTGCCAATTCCCAGCCAGCCCGTTTTGATGTCACAGCTGTGCTCACATCCGCATGTAAACATGTTGTCGGCATGAAAGTTCTTCACTGTGAGTGAAGAAGACACAAAGTTCGCAGCTTGTGATGTGTGTAGGGCCAAAGTAAACCGTGGGGGAACCACAGGGCTCGATCAACACTTGTCTGGGACAAGAAAATTTTTAAAGGGGCAAGTGTGAGAGAAGTTGACTTGCCCAACGGGACAAGAAGCCTGATTGAAATGTCAATAACAAAAATAACTAGGGAAGCATTGAAACTTGGCCACCAACAATTTTTACGTGAGAATGATTGTGATTTTATTGCATTCAATGTAAACGGCGACTGGTAATGTATTGGTGATCGTGCCAGATGAGGCTCACGCAGCCTGAGTGAGAGCGAGAGACAAATTAAAACAAATGAGCGCAACAGCACTCACAGAAAGTTATACAAGCATACTATATTAGAAAAAATATATATATTTATAATATACGATATAGGTTAGCATTACACGACCAAGATGTTTCCCCGAATATCAGCACAATTGTAATGAGACACTGATTTTATACAATAGTAGTTCAATAAACAAGAAGTTAAAATTAAGTGACTTATATTTTGAGTTTTTGCTCAATTTCGCAAATGAAAATCGTTCCAATCAAAGCCACAGCAGAACTGTTGTTTGTCTCTGAGCAACACAGTGGTGTTTCATTACTGAATTAATTTTTGAACGAATTCAGTGAGTCAAGGATTCAGTGAGCCATTCATAAAGACTTGCCTTATTTCTGAATCAATCAGCCGTTTGAACGAATCGGTTGAATAAATGACTAAATGACTCACTCATTCAAACAGTCATTTAAAAGTGTCATTGCATTTGTCCCAGTATTTCTTATTCGTTTGTTCAAAAAATTATTTAATAACAATCGTATAACAAGCTTATGGCACCTCTCAACTTCATTAAACAGTCTGTGTAAATACATCTAATGCCACTTCAAATGCAGCCATGGAAAGATGGAGTTTGTTGATACTGATTTAATTTGAATGGCGACAACTTTACATTTTCTTATTAGTCTAACTGAATTATTTGAAACAATGTAAGAATTTGATGTGAAAGATGACATTTCTACCTCTTTCCAGTCACAGAGCACTTTTGAGAGTTAAGTCAGAGAACATCTGTAGCTTAGTCCAGATTGGGGGAAATTGTAATGTTTAATAATTTATTTTATTTATTTATTTATTTTTATTTTATTCATTTATTTAATTTATTTTTTGCATTGAAAAAAAAGTAGATTTTTGTTTGTATATGCTGTCAAATATAGTTTTTTAGAATGAAAATCGGAATTGGCAAAAATCGGTATCAGCAGGTCACACTTGCAAAACAAATCGGAATCGGCCAAGAAAATTGCAATCAGTGTATCTCTAGTTGAACCCGTAAAATTTTTTATCCATTCCAAGAATTATCCACACATTATCATTAAAAAAAAACAAACAAACAGAACATTTAAAACAGATTTCATTTAGGCCTAACTATAATTTAGACCATCACGGATATGTCATTTTCATTCTCATGGTCTGCGTTGGTCTTTCTGTGATGTGTGCATGCATTGTGGGCATATGAGCAAAGACTGAGGCAAGTCCTCACTAATTAGACTGCAGCCTGAGTGGTGTTTTTCAAACAGATTTTGTTCTTCTGTCGTTGCAGCATTGGACATGGTGTTTTTAATGTGTGCTCCTCTCTGCAAACCCTGATATTCAACCTCATGCAGAGGGAAAAGCCTGGCAGTGAGGGCTTAATAAGTTGAGGACTTTCCATCCAGCACCCAAATCAACCACCTTCTCATGTCATGTTCCTCCTTTTGAGGTCTTTTGGCTAATGAGGAACCCAGAGATGCCCTGGGCAAGGCGTACGCCCAAATTAAACCAATCACATCTTCACTTTCATTATTCCAAATAGCTCCTTTGGAGGATGATTGCAGCTTGCTGATTTTTCCCACCACACTGCACCGTTGTCCCAGGCCTGTCCAGTGGGAGAGAGGTCTTGAGATGGCAAGGGGTCCCATTTAAAGAAACTCCTGAATTGTAGGATAAGAGGTTGCATGCTACGCAACCCACTGACACCAATGGATGCCAAGTTGCGAGAAGATCTATTCCGCAGGTATGTGGCGTCTTTGGAGAATCGGCTTGAGGAGAGAGCCGGTGAAGGAGGAGGAGATAAGCAAGGAGCCAAGACTGAGGAGGCACTGATTTCTACTGCAACAGCACTGTTAGGCTCTTACCAGCCTGATCCAGGGCAGCGCTTTCGCATGATTCGGTTCTATGAAATTGCTGAGAACTCCCTGAGGACTCAAAGGAGCGCAAACTTGCGGACATTGGAGACAGCCTTTGCAACACTGGAAACCATCTGTACCAACTTGCTGCTCTTTCCATGGAAGAAGGAGTTCCGCTGCATAAAGGTGAGTAAACAGATTAAAAGATTTTTGATTGTAGTTTCAGTGAGAAGTTTGTAGTATCAGTAGGGTTGGGCATCGTTTGAATTTTATCGATTCCTAATTCCGATTCCAATAAGATAAAAAATAATCCATTAAACAATTTTTAAGTAAAATATTTAGATGTCAAACATATTTATTATGTTTTATAAAAAAAACACAGAAAAAAAATTAGACTAATATAAATTTCAAACATTAAATTGTTAAAGACAAGTGAACAAATTAATTAGCAATAGCATAAATACATAAAACTGAACAAATGTCAGGTACAGAAATACGAGACTGAACTACATTAAGTAATTATTCAGCCTTTTATTAAAACCTTTTAAGTTTGTGAATGTGAAAAGTGAGACATGACAGTATGAATGCCATAATTATTTTTGCTGTTGATGGTGTATTGACATTTCTTTCAATCTTACAGACCTTCACAGGGCCGTATGTGTACCAGTTGCAGT